AACAACAGGGCTTTGCCCGCTCAGGCACGTTACGTGTCAATCCTGGCTCAGAAATAGAACCTTGGCTTGGTAGCGTAAAGAATGAGCAGGATGTGTATCTTATGTTTGATATTTTTCGTAGTAAGATGCTTTCATATTTTCAAGAGGAGGGTGTGCATGATGCGTTGGAACTGGAGGTCGAGGTCAAGGTCGGAAAAAGGGGTGTGAATATAGGAGACCTTCGGAGACTATTTGGGAATGAAGTGGTAGACAAGTCATTCAAACTGTGGAATATCCCGACTAGCAAGGTTTTGTATCCCCCGATTCAGAGCTTGATTCTAGCGTGTGAGAGTCCCCAAAAGGGCTGGAAAATCGTGACAGAATTCTATCAGGAGAAAAAGCAGTCAGAAAAGTCGAGGTTGGAGCAGGACTGGAAGGAGTTCGAGATGAGAGAGTCTGAGAGTCCACAGGATTACATTGCCCGCTCAGAGGCCCTTCGCCTGCGTCTCGCATCTGTAGGCACGATTAAGGATGAAACAGATGCCAACAAAGACATTGCTCGTGGCCTTCCCTCTTCGTTGTATGCCGTGCAAAAAGGAATAATGCTTGCCCATGATGTCATGACGTTGCGTACCCTTGAGACTGTGGTGAGGGACGCCCACATGGAGATGGAGCGCGAGAGGAGCAAGGTCCGCGTAGTTTACCTTTCACACTAGTGCGACGATATCACGGTATCTGCGTGCGGGCGTAGCCTTCCGGGGGGCGTGCAGTCACGAGCAATCGGTAGACTTCCATAACAACATAAATCATGGAGGGCATCGACCTCTCCGCCCTTAGCGAGCAAGAACTACAGCAAAAAGTGGAGGAGATCGTCCAGCAACGAGTACAAGCCGAACTTGAAGCCAACAGGATCAACGAGGGTGAAGTCACCTACGCCCAACCACCATCAGCCGGCAACCCAGTCCCACCTACCGGTAGCCAGCCATCACCCTCCAGCCAGGGTAAAACAGCTACCTTCAACGACCCCAGCAGCGTCGCACACATCGTGGCGCAAGCGGCCAAGGCGACAGCTGAGGCCATCGCTGAACAACAGGGCTTTGCCCGCTCAGGCACGTTACGTGTCAATCCTGGCTCAGAAATAGAACCTTGGCTTGGTAGCGTGAAGAATGAGCAGGATTTGTATATTATGTTTGATATTTTTCGTAGTAAGATGATTTCATATTTTCAGGAGGAGGGTGTGCATGATGCGTTGGAACTGGAGGTCGAGGTGATGGTCGGAAAAAGGAGTGTGAATATAGGAGACCTTCGGAGACGTTTTGGGAATGAAGTGGTAGACAAGTCATTCAAACTGTGGAATATCCTGATTAGCAAGGTTTTGTATCCCCCGATTCAGAGCTTGATTCTGGCGTGTGAGAGTCCCCAAAAGGGCTGGAAAATCGTGACGGAATTCTATCAGGAGAAAAAGCAGTCAGAAAAGTCGAGGTTGGAGCAGGACTGGAAGGAGTTGGAGATGAGAGAGTCCGAGAGTCCACAGGATTTCATTGCCCGCTCAGAGGCCCTTCGCCTGCGTCTCGCATCTGTAGGTACAATTAAGGATGAAACAGATGCCAACAAAGACATTGCTCGTGGCCTTCCTCTTCGTTGAATGCCGTGCAAAAAGGAATACTGCTTGCCCATTATGTCCTGACGTTGCGTACCCTTGANCTTGACGGAATTCTATCAGGAGAAAACGCAGTCAGAAAAGTCGAGGTTGGAGCAGGACTGGAAGGAGTTAGAGATGAGAGAGTCCGAGAGTCCACAGGATTACATTGCCCGCTCAGAGGCCCTTCGCCTGCGTCTCGCATCTGTAGGCACAATTAAGGATGAAACAGATGCCAACAAAGACATTGCTCGTGGCCTTCCCTCTTCGTTGTATGCCGTGCAAAAAGGAATACTGCTTGCCCATGATGTCCTGACGTTGCGTACCCTTGAGACTGTGGTGAGGGACGCCCACGTGGAGATGGAGCGCGAGAGGAGCAAGGGGGAGAGGCGCGAGGTGGAGCTCGCTCTCGCCGCGTCCGGCATGGGCCGGCGCGGCGGGGGAAGTGGGGGGGCATCCGGGGGTCAAGACGGCGGTCAGGCAGCAGCTGGCGGCCAAAATCGTGACGGAGAGAAGAAAAATAGTGACGTGTTCAACGACGACCCCGGCGGATTTTGCCGCTACCACCAGTCCGAGCTTCACACCCACGAGCAGTGTCGTCTCCAGCAGCAGCTGCGGCCCGCGCGTTCGAGAGAGGGCGCCGCGGAACGCCGCTCGGGCGGCGGCAGCCGCGGTGGCGGCGGTAGCCAGCGAGGGGGCAGACCGCCGCCGGGGCCAGGCCGCGGTGGCGGCCGATGGGTGAGGCTAGAAGGGCAGCAGCACCACACCGGTCATGGTGGCGGTGGCTGGAGCCAAGCCTCACCCCCCCCGAGACCTCTTCGTGGACGTGGGCCTGGTGGTCGTCTGGGGCGTCACCCGGGGGGTCGTGGGCCCGCGGGACGCCACAGCAGCGACGGGCGTGCCGAGAGAGAACGGGCAGGGAGAGGCCCGGGGCACGCGCGTTCTGGCCACGGAAGAGAGCAGGCGTACGTTGTGTACTACGCCCACGATGATGGTGGCTACTACGAAGACTACGGCGACTACGACGACGGCTACTACTACGAAGACGGCTACCACGACGCCGGGTACGCCCACTACGCCGGCGGTGGGGACAGCTACAGCTACCCCTCATGGTACGAAGACAGTCGTTCATCGGACGGCGGCATCCACTACGTGTACTGCCCTCCTGCCGGCGAAGATTCGTCATCCGAGCAGCAACGTCAGCCCCCCCCCGCGAGCAGCAGCAGCACCGCTTCCTCCTCGTCCTCTACTCCTTCTCCTGGCGCGCCTCCATCTTCGGGCTACCTCCACCTCTGCACGGCACAATCGGTGCCC